CCTCAGGATAAAATTATAAACTGAACCAGATTTTATTAACTACAACCAGCAGGCAAGCCTAATTCGGACTTCTTATCTGGAAATATGTGATAAATCAGCCTGCCCCAGCTTTTAAGTTTAATCAGACCTTAATCAGTACGTGCAAGACATGCTAAACTATATGCTTTTCTTTGATCTAAAGAGGACTGTTTGAGCCTTATTTGTTTATGTGCTTCCCCCATGCTTGTTATATGTGTTCTTGCTTGTCGCCTTAGTATTTTTACCTTTAAAACTATAAAAGCCCAACATCCCTTCCCTTTAGGATTAGTAGTCCTAAATGCCTCCGGGACTGATAGGATTGGGGCGGGTAATAGCATGCAATAAGAAAACGAGACTATTCCGCGCTTTAATACCTTAACGGGGTGGGAAAGGGTAGATATGGATATGATGACCACGCGATAACACCACGTGTATAAGTGATTACCAGGTGTTGTGTGGGGTGATCCATATTATTTATAAACCTAGGATTCCCCTCTCTTTTACTTGTTTATTTCATTGTTTATTTCCAAATTTCAAATTGTTTTTCCCAAAATTCAGCTTTCCTTCCGTTTCGTTTATCTTCATTAATTTGCAACCATTATGTGAAATCCACTCTTATTTGAAAGTCTTACTTGCTTACGTGTTATTTGTACTTAAAGTCACAATAATAGCTTGGCCGAGAACCACACTAGTGGATTCTGAGGGGTGCCTAACACCTTCCCCTTGGAATAATTTCAAGCCCTTACCCAATCTCTCGTTATCCAAACAAAACCCTTCTTAGTGTCCTAATGCACTTTAATCATTAGGTGACGACTCTTCACTTCTCTTAAACTCAATTCCCAAAAGGGAATGAGTTGTCCTCCTAAATGTCATAAACCCGATTTCCGCGGAGGAAAAAGCATCGACAATATGATCCTTCTGTAAGATTCGTGTGTTTTGGTTCTACTGTGTGAGAGGGGTTATTAGAATTGCATTGTGGTGGTACTAGTTGAGCTTGCGGGTCGGTTCTCTCATTGAAGTCACTTTCTATGTTTGAGTATGTTTGGGTTGTTGTGTATTGGTACACGGATTTCACGGTTTGTGGCTCTGGTTAGTATTGGTATGGCACGTCGGTAGAGTAACTTGTATTTGATAAGATAAGGTCGTCATAGCTAGTATGGATGCTATCGAATTTGATTACGGTATATTTAAGAGGGTAATGTCACTGATCGGCTTAGAAATTGGCTACAGTTCTTGTCGAAAGAGGGGGAGTTCCGCTACTGATTGATCCGATAAATGGTTATGAGTTATTGCGTGATTCTTTAATCGTTGGCAGTAGACGAAGGTGTTAGAACAAGGCTCTATTTTATAAGAGGTTTATTACCAGCGTTTGGTTGATCTGGGTAGCTGCTATGATTAGAAATCATCGCTGTGAGTGTTTGAATTATGTGGTATATCATGTGATTTCATCTTGGGTTATGGCTATGACTGGAGACATCCTGTTCAGACTTATACAATGTGTAGATGCGAGAATTTTGATCTTATAGAAAATTTCAGATGTGGAAATTAGATTCTAAGGCTTATGGGCTAGGTTGGATTAAGAAATTTCAGTCATGTTATGTTACCAGACATACATGGGATAGGGTAACGTGGGATCACCCCCGGGTATGTGCATAGTGAGATTATACAGTGATTTGATGGCTTTTGGAACAACTCTGGCATGTTCGAGGACGAACGTATGTTTAAGTGGGGGAGTATGTAACGACCCGACCAGTCATTTTGAGCAATTTCACTTTGCTCGGTTGTTTGAGGTAATGAGTAGCTCCATCTGATGTATTATGACTTATGCAAATCGTCGGTTTTAGTTTTCAGGTTATCCGGAATTGTTTTGGGAGAATGGTCTCAGCTTGAAGCTTTAAATTAGAAAGGTTTGACCAAGTTTTTACTTTTTAGTATTCGACCTCGAATTTGAATTTTGATGGTTCCGTTAGCTCCGTTAGGTGATTTTGGACATGGAAACGCGTCCGGAATGTGATTTGGAGGTCCGTGGAAGAATTAGGCTTGGATTGGAGAAATTTGGAATTTTGGCAATTTTGGTCGACAGTGGAAATTTTGATATCGGGGTCGGAATGGGATTTCGGAAGTTGGACTAGGTTCGTAGTATCATTTGTGATGTGCGTGCAAAATTTTAGGTCATTCGGACGAGGTTTGGTAGGTTTCGACATCGTTTGCGGAATTTGGAAGTATAGAAGTTCTTAGGCTTGAATACGAGGGAAATTTGGTGTTTTGATGTTGTTTTGAGTGTTTCGAAGGCTTGACTAAGTTCGTATGTTGATATGTGACTTGTTGGTATTATTGGTTGAGGTCCCGACGGCCTCGGGCATGTTTCGAATGGTTGACGGATTGGATTTTGGTGTTTGAGAGTTGATGAAAACTGCTGGTGTGATTCTGTTGGTGTTTCCGCACCTGCGGAGAGGGAACCGCAGGTGTGAGGTCCGCAGAAGCGGAAAGAGGTCCGCAGATGCGGGCAGGAGTGGTCTGGGCTGGATGCGTAGGTGCGAGTGTTCGAGCGCACCTGCGAGACCGCAGGTGCGAGATGTTGGCCGCAGATACGGATTTTGAGGAGTAAGTAGAAACCGCACCTGCAATGGTTTTTCCGCAGGTGCGGCGTCGCAAAAGCAGGTATTTTGACCACAGATGCGGTTTTGCTGGGCAGAACCTATAAATTGAACCCTTCGCGAATTTTGCTCATTTTCCACCATTTTGAAGACGGGTTTGGAGCTTTTGGGGTGATTTTGAAGAGGGATTCAAGGGATTATCAGTGAGGTAAGTTGCTTGAGCCCTAATACTCGTATATGTGGTGATTTCCCATTGTTTAATCCTGTAATTAGTGAAATTATAGGTGGAAATGATGGGTTAGGGCTTGGAATTTTGAAGAGTTTGATTTGAGGATTTGAGGGGTCAAATGGAGTTGGATTTTGATAAATTTCGTATGTATGGACTCGTGAGTGAAAGGGCTTTCTCGTTTTGTGACTTTTGTCGGATTCCGAGACGTGGGCCCAAGGGCGAGGTTTGAGTGGATTTCGCGATTTGTGCCTAATTAGATAGTTTTTCTTGTGGAATTCATTCCCTTAGCGCATATTGATGGTATTGTTCTGGTTGTGAATAGATTCGGAGCGATTGGAGGTCGAGTCGAGGGGCAAGAGCATCACGGAGTAGAGATTTGACCGGTTTGAGGTAAGTAACGATTGTAAATCTATTTTTGAGGGTATGAAACCCCGGATTTCATATTGTTTTACTGCTTTGAGGTGATGCACATGCTAGGTGACAGGCGTGTGGGCATGCACCGTTGGGGATTGTGACTTGGTCCGTCCCGTAACAACTATGAAGTTGCGTATTTGGTTGAAACTATATGATACTGATGTGTTTTAGAAAGAGTTTCTGTAAATTGGGCTGAATGCCAGAGCTGTTTGGACCCTTAGGGCCCTTTTTCTTATTATCCTCTCACTGTTTTTGATTAAAAATCTATACTCAGTCATGTTGTACTTATTGATTTTATAACTCAGTCTTTATTATTCTGTTTTGATACACATAAATGTTGTTTTGGGCTGAGTACCCTGTTTTACTGAGAGCCTGAGTGGCTTGAGAGTTTTATGAGTGAGTGAGGCCAAGGGCCTGATTTGTGATGATATTATGGGATCGGGCTACACGCCGCAGCAGGTTGTTACTGATTCATGATTGAGTGAGGCCGAGGAATTAATTAAATTATGCCACGAGGTGGCTTGTTATAGCACTTGTGCTGAAGGAGCCCCTCCGGAGTCTGCACACCCCAAGTGAGCGCAGGTACCTACTGAGTGATGTTTTTCCCAATGGGCTATATATGAGTGATGGTGAGGTATGCCCGAGGGGCTGTATACGAGTGACTGTAAGGTTTTCCCGAGGAGCTGCATATGAGTGATGTTTTGCCCGAGGGGCTGTACATGAGCGATGTTTTTTCCGAGGAGCTATTTATGATTCCATCATTTTTCTCACTGTTGCATTGAGCCTCTATTTGAGAACTGTTGAAAAATATCTTCAAATGATTTTTCGGAAACTGACTTTAAACGAAACGATTTGATTCAAACTCTGGTTTTAAAAGCCTGTTTTATTTTACTGAGATTTCATGATATGAACTTTATATGCTTTACTGCTCGTCACTACTTCTCAGCCTTTATTTACTTTGGTTACTTACTGAGTTGGCATACTCACGTTACTCCCTGCACCTTGTGTGCAGATCCAGGTATTTCTGGACCCGGTAGCGGGTGCTCATTAATCAGTTGCAGATCCATCGGAGTTAGCAAGGTAGCTGTCTGGCGATCGCAGCCCTGCTTTACTCCATCTTCATCTTCCCTTGGTTGTTTTCAGTTATTTCCAGACTATGTTAGTCTCCATATTATCAGACGGTTGTAGTAGATGCTCATGACTAGTGACACCCCGATGTCGGGCTTTCTTTTCCGCACTTTTGTTTTGATTTACACTCTTTGGGAAGGTGTTATGTTAAATAGCTTTGGGAACTATCTTGAAAATTAAAAATCTCATTTTGTTTTGGTAGTGTGTTTGCTTGCCTAGTACCACAATAGGCGCCATCACGACAGGGTTGATTTTTGGGTCGTGACATAACTACTTCAGTTAATAACAGATTTATAACGTACAATTTGGACCACGTGGTCATGTGTTATCCCCGTCATTTTTTTTTTGGACTATCTAACCTTAAATATGGAAATAGAGCTTATGGATGGAATAACCAAAGTTTTGTTTGACTTGGAGGCCAAAAACGTGGCTGACAGTATATGAGGCCATCAAGAGCGTCGTAAATACTATATAGTTGATTAAGAATTATATTGGGCAAAACTTTAGACTAAAGTAGGAAATAAGTGGGTCAGCCCCACTTCTTAGTGTTCTTTACTTTACAGAGCCTTAGAATCGCTTACGAAAAAAAAACTTTTGATTAAAGGAGAAAATAAGTGAGCTAGCCCCACTTCTTAGTGTTCCTTATTTTGTAGAGCCTTAGAATGGCTTAAGGGAAAAAAATTAAACCTCATTAGCTTTGGAATCAAATTAAGAAAACGAAGCTGCGAAAGACTTATTTTTGCCTGACGATCTCTTTAAGGATTAACAAGAAGAACAATTGTTTGATCTGTTGCTTGGGTCATTATTGTGTGAGGAGTTTGAGGATACATAATTGCCGTGAGCAGAGAACTAGAAAGCTTGAAAATTTTCTTGCGCAATTCAACCAACAATCAGGTATGTAGATATGTAATATTATCCTTATAGAGTGCCTTGGATTACATTAGGATTGATATGGATATCAAATTTTTAGAATGATGACAAGAAGTAAATTGAAAGCAATTTGATAAATTCTAAACCCTTTTTGAGTAGCTGCCATATTTTTGAGAGTGGGAACATGATTAGAAATATTAAAACAATGGAGAAATTATTTTCATCTAGTAATGAACAAAGCTTTAAGGGTAAAGTGAGGCTCAGATTTCAACGATTCTAGAGTATATTATTATTATGGTCATAGGTTTTGGATGGTGTTATTTATGTATGAACATGTAATATTTTTGATATTAACATATGTTTCTTCCTCTCCATATACGAAGTGGTCGAGGATATTGTAGCAGTAAGCTTGACAGAGAAATACAATTTTGTTTCACATTACGTGTCGATTATATTGAGTAATTCATGACTTATAAATTAGTTCAATTGGTGGTGAATTGAACTTGTTGAGTATGTTCTGATGATCCTAGCCCAAATATTTGTAGATCATGAGTTGTTGAACTCCCGGGAAGTTTGAAAGGACGAGTTGAAGCTAAGAGTTGAGGTTTACTCTCCTAAAAGGGAGTTTCATTAGAACCCCTATGCTCCATATATGAGATAAAGCTAAGCCATGTCTTCGCATGATCTAATACTCAGTTCACTTTGTTCTTATTCAGTATGAATTTATATGTGACATGAATACATGCTTATGTGTATTACCAGTTGTTATATGCCTTTATTTGCGATATTCACATTCAGTTAAGTATTCAGTTTCAACATTAATTCATGCATCAATGTGATCACATTCAGTAGGGAGAAGTGGCAACCTCCCCCAACGTGAGTGCCATGATGTCAGGGTTACCTACCCCACGCTCGCAGGTGCCAATTGTTTGTTGGGGAGATAGGCCGACGCTCCCCCGTACGATTTTCCAGATGCTCACGTATGCAGGGCCATTATGCGTAACAATTTTTAGCAAAGTTGTGTCTTAATATATATATAACTCAGTTTCTATTTCAGATATCAATTATGGACTCAATTTCTACGTTAAGTTTTAGTTTCCGCTTACAGTTTAGCATATAGTTTCAGTTTCCAGCTTATTACTTGGTTGTAAACTTTATATGAATTATATGATTTTTTTTCGTATATCCATTTTCTTTCTTATTTTTCTCAGAAGGTCTCGATCCGCCTTCTTTGGAGATAGCCTATGAGACTTACTGGGTATCCTTTGGTGTTACCTAGCCCGTTTGGACCTACTACATCGTGTGGCAAGTATTGAGGACACAGGTAACGAGGCATGTGGCTAGAGGAGATATTGTAGATTCAGTTTACAGACTCCGTTGATTCATTCCAGCAGTAGCAGACCCTTTTCTGACTATTATTTATATCTTTCTTTCGTTACGTTTATTTTATTTCCGGGGGAGGGGGTACCCCCGTAGGCCATGTATATTATTAATTTTTTTTAGATTCTAGAGGCTCATGACTTTTTAGTAGGTCAGTATTAAAATATTTTGGGATTTATCCTTTATTTATTATTTTTATCAGTCAGCTTAAAAACTATAACTATATTAGAAGTAATATTTAAGCACGTTAGATTCTTTAGTATTGAACTTGAAGTTTGATACAAATAGCATAGAGTTCACTCAACGAGTGGTAAGGGTTGAGTGTCAATCGCGTCCCACCCCAGTTTGGGGGCGTGACAAGTTGGTATCAGGGCATCCAGGTTTAGGGAATCCGAGGGAGTCATGAGCCGTATCTAGGAGAGTCTCAAATATGGGTATGTTGTGCACCACACTTATATCTGAGATGCTGCAAGACATGTTAGGAAAATTTCTTTCTTTTTATTCTTACATTGTGCGTTAGAGATAAATGTTTCAGAATTCTAACAATCCTTTCGTCTCCCATTTCTATGGTTAGAACAAGATCAACTTTATCCTCTGATGCTAACAATGTTGAGATACCAGCTGCTAATCATCAAGAAACAGCACCAGAGGTGCAAGACGTACCAATAGCACCAGCTGCAATTAGAGGATGTGGCAGAGGTAGAGGTAGAAGTTAAAATACTAGGGGTAGAGGTGGAAATTCAGAGGTAATCAGGCTCGTAGTAGGGCCACTAGACAAGCACAAGCTCCACTCAGCAAGTTGTTAATGATTGGGTACGACCACATCAGCATGATGATCGAATTGACAGAATTTTGGACTTTCTAGAGTCCCTAGCCCCTTCGGTTGGTGGTCGGGCTGCACCTGTTCACGCTCCTCCTTAAGACCCTCATGATTCAGATAAAAGACGTTATTGGAGATGATTTTCAAGCTCCACTCGAGATACCACCGCCAGTTGTCCCTGCAAATATTGCCCAGACAGTGCAGTTACCAACAGGAAAAATTGATCCACATGTCTTTCTGAGATTAAACCCTCCTAATTATAATGGTATAGATAAACCAAATGAACTAATGTTATTTTTGGAAGAGATAGAGGAAATGTTTGTTTCTTTGGGTTGTCTTGAAACACAAGCCACATAGTTGATTGGGTTTCGATTGAAGGTGCAGCAGGACAATGGTGGAGAGGTTACAAGAAGGCCACAGATTCTACATTACTGCCACTTACTTGGCCCCTATTCAAAGAAGCTTTCAGGGTTATGTTTTTGCCTAGCAGTCGGATAGATGAGCTCCGACGTTAGTTCAAACAACTTAAACAGGGCACCATGTCAGTGACTGAATATGAGATGAAATTTACAAAATTGGTAGAGTATGCGCCTAATTTGATACTAATAGAGAGAGAAATAGAGAAAGTTCATTGAAGGCTTGAATCCACATATGGCAAAAGATACGGCTTCACATCAGGATGACAAGTCTTATCTTCAGGTTGTCAATATCTCTAAGCGTAAGGAGGTTTTTGATAAAATCACTAGGGAAGCTAGAGATAACAACAAGAAGGCTAGAACAACAAGTATTTATAGTGGATTTTCAGTTGGGGGTAAGAACATGAATCATTCTGCTCATATTCAATCAACGACTCACTCATCTCCTTATCCAGCTCCACTCAGACATAGCCAACAGAGTAAGGGTCAGGCCCCTCAGGGGCAAAGTTCAACTAGTCAGGTCCAACCTCGATTCTCCTATTCTATATGTCCGTTGTGCAGCAAAAAACATCCAGGGAAATGCCTTTTGGTTCAGAAGGTTGTTTCCACTGCCACAATTCAGGTCATATTAAGAGAGACTGTCCAGTGCTTGGATAAGATCTGGGAAAGCTCCAACCACACATGCAACATCCACGGGTAATTCTATAGTCGTACCTCCTCCAGTTCGGACACCTAATACTCAGACTGGGTGTGGTGCCAATAGAGGTGGAGCTCAGAGACGAGGCGGACCAGCCAGATTCTATGCAGTTATATACAGGTAGAATGTTGAGGCGTCTAACAGAGTTATTACAGATATTCTCTTAGTTTTTGGTCGCCTCGCTTATGTATTATTCGATCCTGGTTCAACTTTCTCCTATGTGTCTCCTTATTTTTGTGTCGAGTTTGGAAAAGCACCGGAAAAATTAAGGATTCCATTTGAGGTTTCCACACCTATAGGGGAATTTGATAAAGTTGAGTACATATTCAGAAATTGCATCATCACAGTTCAGGGCCGAGAAATATTAGCCGATTTAAACTTGTTAGATATGGTAGACTTTGACATCATAGCTGGCATGGACTGATTATCTTCTTTTCATGCTACAGTTGATTGCCACGCGAACACAGTTAAATTCTCATTTATAGGGGAAGATCTAGTTATAATTAGAGGTGAAGTGGGTACGCCTGTGGGTAAGTTTATTTCTTAGCTTAAGGAAAGAAAACTAGTGAACAGCGGGTGTTTGGCGTATCTAGCACATGTACGGAATATGAAAGTTGACTCCCCAGTGCTTGAATCAGTACCAATTGTGAAAGAGTTTTCAGACGTGTTCCCGAATAATCTCCTAGGGATACCACCAGATAGGGAGATTGAGTTTGGCATAGACATATCGCCAGGAACTCAAACCATCTCGATTCCTCCTTACAGAATGGCTCCAGCTAAGCTAAATGAACTCAAGAAGCAATTACAAGACCTCTTAGATAAGGGTTTTATTCGACCGAGTATTTCACCCTTGGGTGCTCCAGTGTTGTTCGTGAAGAAAAAAGATGGTTCCCTACGGATGTGTATAGATTACAGCCAGCTGAATAAGGTTACTATCAAAAATAAATATCCGCTGCCCATGATAGATGACTTACTTGATCAGTTGCAGGGTGCCAGGTATTTCTCAAAAATAGATCTGAGATCGGGATATCATTAGTTAAAATCAGAGAAGCAGACATCCCGAAAACAGCTTTCAGGACTCGGTACGGTCACTATGAGTTTTTAGTGATGTCCTTTGGGTTGACCAATGCACCAGCAGCTTTCATAGACTTAATTAATAGAGTCCTCAAGCCTTTCTTAGATACCTTTTTTCATAGAATTTATCGATGATATTTTGGTATATTCCCGTAGCCAGAAAGAGCATGAGAATCATTTGAGAACAGTTTTTCAAATATTAAGGACCGTCAGCTTTATGCCAAATTTTCCAAATGTGAATTTTGGCTCGATACAGTTACATTTTTGGGACACGTGTTCTCAAAAGAAGGTATTAGAGTAGACCCATAGAAAATAGAAGCAGTTAAGAGTTGGCCTAGGTCGACTACCCCTATAGAGATTCGTAGTTTTCTAGGATTGGCAGGTTACTACCGTTATTTTGTAGAAGGGTTCTCTTAAGTAGCTTCCCCGTTGTCAAAGTTAACTCAAAAAAATGTGAAGTTCCGATTGTCTGAAGCTTATGAGAAAAGTTTTCAAGAACTCAAGAACAGGTTGACTACAGAACCCAATCCTGACTCTACCTTCCCCCTACAAGTAAATTTGTGATCTATTGTGATGCTTTCAGAGTATGGTTAGGATGTGTTCTTGTGCAGAATGACAAGGTAATTGCTTATGCATCTAGGCAGTTAAAGAATCATGAGAGAAATTATCCTACCCACAATTTTGAGCTAGCAGCAGTTATTTTTGCTCTAAATATATGGCGTCACTACCTTTATGGAGAGCAATGTGACATTTATACAGATCACAAAAGTTTGCAGTATATATTCAAGTATAAAGAGTTGAATCTGAGACAACGCAGGTGGTTGGAGTGGCTTAAAGATCATGATTGTAATATCCTTTACCATCCTGGCAAAGAGGATGTGGTTGCTGATGCTCTGAGCAGAAGATCCACGGGGAGTTTGACCAAGTTGTCTATGGTCGAACGTCTAATACTTAAGGTAAGCCCAACAAATAGCTATCCAAGGGGTTCGTCTCAATGAGAAGTATGATGGAAGGTCGATTGAAAGTATGGGTGCTAAGTCTACTTTAGTAGAGCAAGTTAAATCCAAACTATTTGATCACGCTAGCTTGCTTAAGCTCAAGGAAGGTGTCCTCAATGGAAAGATTAAGAATTTTGCACTTGATAAGAATGGTGTGATAAGACTTGATGGCCGCTTATGCGTGCCTAATGTAGATGATCTTTGAAAGGCAATTATGGTAGAAGCTCATAGCTCCAGATATTCAACACATCCAGGTTCTACTAAACTGTATCATGATTTGAGGGATATTTATTGGTGGAATAATATGAAGAGAGATATTGCAGATTATGTATCACGGTACCTTAACTGTCAGCAAGTAAAAGCTGAACACCAGAGGCCAGGTGGCTTAGCTCAAGTCATTGAAATACTAGAATGGAAATTGGAACAAATAAATATGGATTTTGTGGTCGTCTTACCGCGAACTTTTAAGAAACACGACTCTGTTTGGCTCATAGTAGACCGACTCACTAAGTCAGCTCACTTTTTGCCAGTCGAAAGAACCTACAAGGCACCCCAGTATGCAACATTATGTAAAGGTGATTGTTCGGTTACATGGTTCTCCTATGTCTATTATTTCTGACAAGGGTGCATAGTTTACTGCCTAGTTATGGCAGATTTTTCAGGAAGGTCTCGGTACTCTAGTTAATTTGAGTACAGCTTTTCACCATCAAACAGACGGGCAAGCCGAGAGGACAATTCAGATCTTGGAAGATATGTTACGAGCATGTGTTCTTGATTTTGAAGGTGTCCTCAGTGGCAAGATTAAGAATTTTACACTTAATGAGAATGGTGTGATGAGACTTGATGGCCGCTTGTTCGTTCCTAATGTAGATGATCTTCGAAAGGCAATTATGGTAGAAGCTCATAGCTCCAGATATTCAACACATCCAGGTTATACTAAAATGTATCATGATTTGAGGGATATTTATTGGTGGAATAATATGAAGCGAGATATTGCAGATTATGTATCACGGTACCTTAACTGTCAGCAAGTAAAAGCTAAACACCAGAGGCCAGGTAGCTTAGCTCAAGTCATTGAAATACTAGAATGGAAATGGTAACGAATAAATATGGATTTTGTGGTTGGCTTGCAGCTAACTTTTAAGAAACATGAATCCATTTGGCTCATAGTAGACCGACTCACTAAGTCAGCTCACTTTTTGCCACTCAAAACAACCTACACGGCACCCCAATATGCAACATTATACATAAAGGTGATTGTTCGGTTACATGGTTCTCCCATGTCTATTATTTCTGACAAGGGTACACAGTTTACTGCCTAGTTATGGCAGAGTTTTCAGGAAGGTCTCGATACTCTAGTTAATTTGTGTACAGCTTTTCACCCTCAAATGGAGGGGCAGGCCGAGAGGACAATTCAGATCCTGGAAGATATGTTACGAGCATGTGTTCTTGATTTTAAAGGAAACTGGGATGATCATCTACCTTTGATTGAGTTCGCATATAATAACAGTTATCAAGCAAGTATTCAGATGGGCCCGTTTGAGGCCCTATATGGGAGACAATGTCGTTTTCTTGTAGGGTGGTTTGAGATTGGTGAAACGAAGCTTATTGGGCCAAACATAGTACAAGATGCCTTGAAAAAGGTGAAACTTATTCAAGAACGACTTAAAACAGCTCAAAGCCGACAAAAGTCATACTCAGATATAAGACGTCGCGATCTTGAGTTGAAATAGGGTGACTATGTATTTTTAAAGGTGTCTCCAATGAAGAGTATTATGAGGTTTAGTAGAAAAGGAAAGCTTAGCCCAAGAAATATAGGGCCTTATCCAATTCTTAAAAGGATTGGGCTTATGGCATACGACTAGATTTACCTCCAGAGTTCTCTTCTGTGCATCCAGTTTTTCATGTGTCCATGTTGAAACAGTAGTTTCACAACCCGAGTCATGTACTTGATAGACAAGAGATAGAGATTGACGATACTCTGACATATGAAGAGGTCCCTGTAGCTATACTAGACAGGCAGGACCGTAGACCTCGAACCAAAGACGTTGCTTCGGTGAAAGTAATATGGAGAAACCACTTAGCCGAGGAAGCTACGTGGGAGCCCAAGGAAGCCATGAAGAAAAAGTATCCTTATTTGTTCGAGATTTCAGGTACATAATTCATTTTAAGCTTTAAAATATTTAGATTGTCAAGGTATGTAATATTTGTGCTTATAATGATGTAAAATGGCTTTGGTGGGTATATGAGTGTGCCTTGATGTGGTATATTATTGGATTGAGTAGCTGGAGGTGCAAAGTTTATTGTTATTGGGTTGTTGGACATATCAAAAATTTATGAATAGCTCCAGTTACAAGGGAGATTCTGCCAAAATTTTTATAAATTTGGAGAGTTAATGAGAAAAATAATTTGAGTCCCTAAGGTTCTAAGAATGCAAGATGCCAAAGAAAATATTTTAATCCCTAAGAATGAATACGGTTCCATATTCGAGGATGAATGATATTTAAAGGGGGGAAGAATGTAATACCCCATCTTTTTTTGGACTAATTTAACCTTAAATATGGAAATAGAGCTTATGGATGGAATAACCAAACTTTTGTTTGACTTGGAGGCCAAAAATATGGGTGATAGTATATGAGGCCATCAATAGCCTTATAAATACCATTTACCTGATTAAGAATTTATATTGGTCCAAACTTTAGATTAAAGTAAGAAATAAGTTGGTCAGCTCCACTTCTTAGTGTTCTTTACTTTACAGAGCCTTAGAATGGCCTAGCGGAAAAAAAATAACTTTGGAATAAAGGAGGAAATAAGTGGGTCATCCCCACTTCTTAGTGTTCCTTATTTTGCAGAGCCTTAGAATGGCTTAAGGAAAAAAAAATCAAACCTCATTAGCTTTGGAATCAAATAAAGAAAAAGAAGTTGCGGAAGACTTACTTGTTCCTGACGACTGATAGGAGCAAACGCCGATAGCTTCCTGTTCGACTGACACCTGTAGACAAAACAAAAGAAAGAAAAGTCGACAGAGAAGAAAATATGATGTATGCGCTTACGCCGGTAGTGCATTCAAATGCCTATAAAAAGGGGTCTGCATTTTCATTTGTATACCATCCCTCTACTTCTTCTTTCTCTCTTCAATTAATAAAGAGCTATTCTTTGTTTGGCCGTGGAGTGGGCAAAAATTACCGAACCACGTAAATCTTGTCTTGTACAATTTATTGCTTTTCTCTTTTAAATATTTTTTCCTTCTATTAGCCTGACACGCTTTCCAACAACTTGTATCATAGCACAGATAGTCACTATTCATATAAAAAAATTGTAAAAAATGGCATCAGAAGATGGGAAGGTTAAGATTGACAAGTTCAATGGTAAATATTTTGAATTCTGGAAAATACAAATAGAGGATTATTTGTACCAGAAAAAATTCCACTTACCTATGACCGAGGTAAAACCAAAGATTGTGGCTAAAGCGGATTGGGATCTATTAGATCGTCAAACTCTTGGTGTGATTCGGTTGACGCTAACACAAAATGTGGCGTTTAACACATTAACGAGAAGACCACTACAGTCCTGATGAAGGCGTTATCAAATATGTACGAGAAGCCATCTGCTTCAAATAAAATCTATTTGATGCATCAATTGTTCAACTTAAAGATGATAGAAGGTGGATCTATCACGGAGCATATCAATGAGTTTAATATAATATTAACTCAGTTGAGTTCTGTTAATATAACATTTGATGACGAAGTCAAGGCATTGATTCGACTATCATCTTTACCGGAGAGTTGGCCTGCAACGGTAACTGCAGTTAGCAGTTCATTGCGAAGTACCAAACTCAAATTGAATGATATTAGAGACTTGATTCTAAGCGAAGATATTCGCCAAAGAGAATCAAGTGATTCCACAGGATCCACTTTTAATACTGAAAGAAAGAAGAGAAGCAACCAAAGAGGACAGAGTCATGGACGTGGCAGATCTAAGTCAAGGAGAAGAGGCAAAAATCGCAAGGACATTACTTGTTGGAATTAGGGGTGTGCATTCGATTTATCGATTCGATTTTGACCCTTATCGATAATTACTTATCGATTATCGATTTGTACATATGCTTATCGTTATCGTTTCAATAATGTTTCGATTTTTTCAATTTCGATTTATCGATTTTGGGGGCTTATCGATTCGGTTATCGATTACACCAATAAGAAAATTTGCGGGATTCCACGAAAAGTATATCGCTATAAACGCGCCTAACTAATATGGACAAAAAGAAGCTAAAATAAGACTAACACCATTTATAATATAAAAATTGTGTCAACAAGCACATGCAACAAAAGTAAAGTAAGGGATCAAATGTATGCCACCAACACTCCAACGGTATAAAAAAATAAAACAAAACAAAACACATCATCACGGCTAATTCTGTTTTCCATTAATTTGAACTTCATTCCCTTGATCTTTAAATATGATCATTCCTTATATGTGGTAGAGGAAATAATAGGGTAAGGGACTTAGGGTAAAGGAAAGGGTATAGATTAGGGAAAATAATATTGTATAGCCGCTTTCAAAATAGTAGCGGAATATATATACATTCTGTATGTTATATTAATCTACACAAATAGGTAATTACTCATTTAACAAGTGTCTATAGTCTAGGGGTGTGCATTCGATTTATCGATTCGATTTTGACCCTTATCGATAATTACTTATCGATTATCGATTTGTACATATGCTTATCGTTATCGTTTCAATAAGGTTTCGATTTTTTCGATTTCGATTTCGATAACAAATAATCAATTCGATTTATCGATAAACCGATTCGAATGCACACCCCTAGTTGGAATTGCGATAGGTTACTACAGTAGTCAATGCAGAGAACCAAAGAAGAAGAAGAAGGAAGAAAATTCAGCAAATATAATTGCTGAACAAGTCGGTGATGCACTTATTTGTTGTGCAGACAGTCCAGCGAATCTTGGATTCTGGACTCAGGTGCATCCTTTCACTCTACATCATGCAAAAAATTATTGCATAATTGTATTGCTGGAAAATTCGGAAAAGTTTATCTACCAGAAGGCAAACCTCTGAACATTACCGGGAAAGGTGAAGTTTATATAAAAAGACTTCACAAGGCACGCTATGAAAATTGCAAAATGTCCGACATGTTCCTAGCCTCAAGAAAAATCTAATATCTATGGGCCAGATTGATAGTGAAGGATATAAAACAACACTCGGTAGCGAATCGTGGAAGATAACCAAAGGAAATTTAATTTAGCACGAGGCTTCAAGAAGGGAACACTGTATGCAATTGCAATACAGGGAGATACTATAGCAATAGTTGATCATGGTCGTGATACAACATTGTGGCACCGGAGGCTCGGGCATATAAGTGAGAAGGAAATAAAGTTGTTGACATCCAAAGAAAAGTTGTCAAATCTAAAACATGTTGAATTAGGTTTGTGCGAAGATTGCATTTACGGGAAATAAAAGAGAGTTAGTTTCTCAAAGGTGGGAAGGACGTCAAAGAAAGAGAAGCTGGAACTAGTGCATACAAATGTGTGGAGACCAGCTCATGTGACTTCTCTAGGAGTCTCATGCCATTATATCACCTTCATTGATGATTCCACAAGAAAGGTATGGGTTTATTTCTGAAAAATAAATTTTATGTGTTTGTTACCTTTAAAAGATGAAAAGCTGAAGTTGAAAATCAGACAAGTCTAAAGTTAAAAAGTCTGAAGTCTGACAATGGAGGAGAATATAATAGTCAAGAGTTCAAAGCATTCTGCTTGGAAAATGGGATCAGAATGATCAAGACAGTTCCTAGAACACCGGAACAAATTGGCGTTGCTGAGAGGGTGAACAAAACTTTGAATGAACGAGCCAGCAGTATGTGAATACATTCTGGATTGCCGAAGTATTTTTGGGCCGAGGCTGGGGACCCTCTGTACCGCTGAATTTTGAAATTCCTAAGGAGGTATGGACAGGAAAGGAGGTAACTCTCTCACATTGAAATTTTTTGGTTTTGTTGCTTCTGTGCATGTAAACTCTAATAATAGAGATAAGCTTGATCCTAAAGCCAAGAAATATTTCTTTATCGGCTATGGTGATGATAATTTTGTTTATCGATTTTGGGATGATCAGAATAGAAAGATCCTAAGACAAATGAATGTCATATTTAATGAAAATGTGATGTACAAGGACAAGCTTGAAGTAGAACTAACTAGCACCAGCAAACATACATCTGAAACAATTGAGTTAGAAGAAATCTCAGAAAATGAAGTGGCTAGAGGGATTACAACTGATTCTAAAATTAAAGATGAAGAACTAGAAGCAAAATCTGGATCAGAACCGGAACCAGAGATAGAATCAAATGCAGAACCAAATCTGGAGTAAGGACCTGAATCAAATTCGGGATCAGTTACTCTTGAGCCTACATTAAGGAGATCTAAAAGAGTCACGAATGCTTCAAATAGGTTAACTCTCTCTCTTCATTATTTACTTCTGACTGATGCTGGAGAACCAGGGCACTTTTGTTGGCCCAAGTAAAGGTTAGTTTTGAAGATTGACAAAGGAACTCGGGATAAACCAGGTCCATCACTCAGATGCACAAAAACGGGCAGATTCGAGCATGTGGGATGCACGTGAAGGAGATAACCCTAACTTGGTGTATTTAATATCTCCTGATCGAAAAGGTTGCATAATTGATAAGAAAAAGGACTCCTTAATCAAAGAGAACACTATCCAAGGTAGGGAAGGAGCTAGAAGTTGAAATCAACTAGAACTCTTCCACCAAGGAAGAGTTGCATCAGAACTCTAGTTATTTCTTCATCTACTAACTCTATAAATTGCAGGATGTTCTCACATTAATGGGTTGCACAAAAATGCAGAAGTTAAACGTGAATTAAGAGCAAAATAGCAAGGCTTTTTGCAAGCAGTTCGTGTGTGATTCAAGTGTGCAAACCTGAAGCTACATGAACCAGATTGAAGAACCAGCTCCATAAAGAGTTTTATGTGTCTTTCTTTATTTCTAGTTCAATTGTAGTAGGTATTTTATATTGTACCTTTCAGCTTTATCTAGAAGCAATTGTAATAGGTATTTTGAGTATTCAAGTTAGAGTTAACTTGAATTTGTCGCAACAGTTAGAGGCTGGTTGCTACAACGGGATTAAA